AATGATAAATTATTTAAAAATGTCAATTAAATTTAATTGGTACGTCACAAATGTATAATGGTGTTGGACATTATCTAAAACGACCTTGAGCAATTCATATATTAATTGGTGCGGGTAAAATTGGGTCAAACGGATAGGCCATACCTCATAGAAGCATGTGATTCATACAAGGAATATTCCCTGTAATTTTTGACTCTCAGATCTGATGAAAATCTTAATAGAAGTATAGTAAACATAAAAGTCTTGGGTTGGATTAGTCATTACATATAACTTATAAGAGTTTAGGATGCCCGTTGAAAATGCTTAAGGTACACAAATTTAGAGATCCGGATCTGTATCCCGCAAAAAGAGTCGAAGTAGAAAACAAAATATTATCCAATTATCTAAAGTCAATACAATAATGTCAATACAATATCTGCAAAGGAGATATATGAATTATCCACGAATTAGGTCAAATTACACCAAAAATTATCTGATCTAAGTCTTGAAAACCGCGGAAAATTTGCAAATAAATATTATGAAGCATATTTGCATTTCCACGAATTTTGTATCAAGCTATTTGAATGCACCACGTCGTAGTTGCTTTTGAGATATTTTGGGCTAGAATTTGTAGCGACCAATCCTATAAGCCTTGATTTGTCAATTATTGAAAATTTTCAATTTCAATTGGATTGACATTGTATTTAAACTTTTTTGTGAGAATACAAAAAATAATTGAGAAGTATATCATTGAATGTACACGGTTTTCAATAAAATCCACGTTAATTTTGTGTTCTGATTCTAAGATTCATGCCCTGGATTATTTTCTTGAAAATAATAATAATAATAGGGACATGTTATCCTTATAGTACCTAAAATGTTGCAATGTCACGAGAAATATAAAATCTTCTCCTAATCGTTGGATAATGTCTTTGAACTTATATACAAAACACTTCGCACTATGTAGATTACCTCAATCGGTAGGGACAGTGTTTCAGCATTATGTGGTAGTAAGTTGTCCATGCTCTGAAAAAATAATGTTCAAAATTACAGACATACCGATAATTAATAAATTTATATTTATGGCACCTTTTTAATACGTTAGACCAACCCAATTCGGTCAACGTCTTTACAATACGAAATCTTGGTACTAAATAGAATACAATGAGAATGGATATATGCCAAATTACAGCCGATTATATTTAAAAACGTGCCCAAATCCACCATAGCATCGAAAATGTGGGGTACTATTATATAGGCGATATTTGGAAGCTTGGGCTAATATAAAATTACAGCCAAATGACGAATTTAAGGTATATGGGGGATATTCGTTATATGGGGGATATTCGAATTCTTGGACCAATATTGATCATTAGGCAGTATTACTTCTATTATTAAATTAGAAGTAATTCTGTTGAATATTGGGGGCTACCATAAAAAGTGAACGAAAATTTAAAATTTTCAATACCAAATATCTTATGAGTAGTAGAAATGTATGTATATAATGTATCAAATTTCAAAGTTCTATATTAAATCGTGGAGGGTATAAAAAGCTAATTTAATATTACGCTACCGTTATATGGAAGTCTAATAAATATATTGGGGAAAATGTAATTAAATGCGGAAGTCAAACTTGTATGTGCATTTAAATGTTTTTAATTTAAATTTATTTTCCACGAATTCAATTATTTATCAACGAAACTTTAGAAGACAAAAATAGCAAATAGCTCGTAAACATAAAATTTTAGATATTCAGTACTGTAATGTTATTTTCTGTGTGTTCGGACAAATACCAAGGAATTACAAAAATCTGTGGAGGGTATAAAAACCAACCTAAAATATCGAAAATTATACATCAACTATATTGCTAGGCAAGACAACGTTTGCCGGGCCCGCTAGTATTGCTATAATTATAGATGTTACAAAACATATTTATAGATTATAGAGGCTGAGAACTTCAAGATAATACCCATTTTGTAATTATTGCCACTAAACAGATGTTGTGCGTACATTTCGCTGAATATTGTCAGAAGTAAAATTATGGATTCATATGTCTGCATTAGACTACCTTGTGTAATTATGCCATGGGAATTAAAAAAATATAGTTTTTTTGCATTAGCGACACATATCAACATCTTGTTGAAGTAAGAATTCCTCAGATCAATATCAACCATACTTGACCATAAAACATCATTAATCATTTCTAGGTAGCGCAATCCGTTCAAGGAAAATGTTGACACAGTCTATCGCTGGATAATCAATCCAACCAAAACTACGTCATGATAATTTTTCGATGTAGTTTCGGATAATTTATATATATTTCATGAAGCTAATCGACCAATAGTTTTAGTTAGTTTTAGTCGCAGTTGCCCAGTTTAGCATTCCACAAAACATTTTCGTAAAATATGTTTTTACATAGCCACAATACCAAATGATTCTAACTCTCAATAATTTGTAATAAACTTGTCAATTCTCACTGCCTTTTTCCTAGCATTAGAGGATATATCATCTCTCAATTGATATTTAACCCTTTCAGTGTCAAAGAATTTTTTGTCGGAATAAAAATCTAAAATGTTGTACTTAAAATCATATGAAGGCCCAGAGTTAAGAAAAAAATCAATTCTTATTTTAACCCTCGGACAGTTTTGTCTATCTTTCAGCAAAAATAAAGACATCAACTGTAACGGTACATAGGATAACCGAAAAACTGCAAAGGAGGAGAGTAATTTTAAATGTCGAATATATTCGACAAAAACACTGAAAGGGTTAATCAATTGACATTAAATGCTAAGATTATCTGGGAAAATACATGTCAGCATTACGGAGAACAAATTGCCGGCACTAGATAATAATTGGGTAGTTGGCTTTCACGGTTCTTTTTTCTGAATGAAGGCGCTTAGTATTGTTAACATACCTAGCCTAAATATGCCAGAAATAAAAATCATTGATTATTTCTTTGTGCCAATTCCCTAGATCCCGATGTTATATATGGAACTATGGAGAAAACATTGGGTGTAAAATCTCACTGCCAAAAATTATCAATATAGATCCCCGTTTTGGTATAGCCACATATAACAGTAGCTCAACTATTCAGTATTTTCAAGATTCAATCATAATATGAGATTTTTTCCTAGGAGCCCAATTAATTTTAGATATTTTGAATGTCAACCATGATATTGCGATTCTTTATTCTAAAGGGTACAGAATATGAATGTGAAATGTGTGATCTTTACAAAGATACGAATACATCATCAGTTGTGTATATTAGAAGGTTCCCAATAAGAGTTCTTTCATTTATTGGGATATATGGTCGGCTGTTTATTTCACAATAAAAAGAAAGGTATGCAACAATCGCAAAGTGACGAATAAGAGAATAAGTCCTCTACAGTTCCTTGAATTATATACCTGAGGCGTTAAATCGACTATGGATCGTGATGGAAATGATCACCTCTTCGAGAGGTAGCCCACATATAAAAGAAACCCCACTATTCGTTATTTTGAGGAATGTTAAAATCTTTTTAAAACATCACGCGTCAATTTTGGAATGTTCAAGGTACTATCCTAATCTGAGTGCATTTAATTTCCTCCTGAAAGACCAGTTATGTTTAGGTATTTTAAATGTACATCTCGTAGTGGAGGGTTAACGGCTAGTTATTAGTTTTTTTTTATCTTATATATAATTCCTTCTCAAATTGGACATTCAATGGGTTTATTTCCTTTAATGATGAATTATTTATTTTAGAAAAAAGTTATTTAAGTACTTTTACTTTTTTTTTAATTTTACGCCTTATATACAATATGCATTCCTGTTTATAAGGAAATGTGTGCATTCCTTTGACGTTTTTTTATTAGTTTTCTATTCTTTTATACAGTGTAGTCCTAATTACATTCACAATATTCTTGTAGTCAGTTGCAGACTTTCATGAATTATTAATTTGCCGCAACCACAGCTTACATTGGTTTCATCAGTCCTACGACCACATGTTGTCGTAAAATATTGGTTTTCACTTCTTTTTTGTATTTTCGGTAGTCATCTTCAAATCTATTGAGTGGGTTTCTTCATAATTTTTTGGAGAACACAAACTGAAGAAAATACGCAAGCTATTAAAAATGTTATGGTATATTCCATTGCAATACTATTCTTAATTTGGAAGTATGTTAAAAATTTTCAGGGAACTCTTTAATGACATAGTGATATAGTTTTTTTCACCAAGACAAAGTCGGTCTCTGTAACCAATTGTATGGTATGATATGCATAATCATTCACGGAACCATTGGAAGCGAATTGAAAGGAGAATAGGGTAGACATATATATATATAGTATAAAACTTTAAAAAGGGTATCGCTACAAGCACCCAGTCCATGGCCGTAAATGGATCGGAGTTGAAGAAACATTGGGGAAGAGTAATATCGACACAACCATACGAGACAGGCGGGGACTCAAACTCAAATTCGGTACCAGTGATAATATTTTCAAGAAGATTTGCTATCTATTTCGAACATATCAAGGTCCGACATTTGCCATCACTTCAAACGCAGTTATTTTCAAAGGATTTTGTTTCCTTCCACGGTATTCGCACTTTTTGTGCAGCCTTCAAAATTTTCTTAATTGGTTAGAACGTGAAGAGGTCTGGCAACATTTGTGTTGCTCTCGGAAAATAGGATTGAATCCCATAGCCTTGCTCATCTGAATTTATCATTAGTGTAATTATAAATGAAATTTTTTCTCAGATTGGATTTCATCCAGTTCATTGGAATCGATTGGCGCCGCCTGTTGCTGACATCTCAAATCAGCTAAATCTTCATGTGTTCAAATTTGTTCGATTTAAGTAATAAAACAAAATATCTATTTTTTGAAATTGGGATTGCAATGCAATTGCAAAAAAAAAAAAAATCTTCAATATGCCGACTTCTGGTACACTATCTAGCTTATGAGTATACATATCTTGTTATTAATGATGATAAATCCATTTACAATAACTATGTATATAAAACAAATTAAATTTCCACACAACACTCACCTGTGATGCCGACGGATAACCGCCATATCCAAATTGTGTATAAGCAGCCATTGCCTATATATTTTTTAGTAATTAATTTACAAATAAATTTTTTTTTTTAATTTGTTCGGTTTGTATTGCACTTGATATTTTTTTGTTTCTTTAATAATTCTTTTTTTTATTTTTGCTTTTTAGTGTTTTATTTAATTTATTTTTTTGTATTGTATTTTTCTCTTCGAAAACAAAACAAAATAAGACAAATTGTCACAAACTTGTTGAAATGTCGTGTTCAGTGTGTAACGACATTTGTTACAATTTATTTTTGCATTGATAGGTAGTTTTCGTTTATTGTTGTTCACATTAGATGTGTGGTTGTTGCTGTTGTTGTTGGCGATGGTAACTGATCCATAATGTCAACATAACAAATGTGTAATTTAATCCTTTTGTTTGGCATCTGCTGAATTCACGAAAACAAATCATAGACACAAGAGGTGAGTTGGAGATTAGCTTAACTTGGAATTGGAATTTGTTTTTTTAACCGAGCAAAACATTACAAAAAATACTCAATTGCATGGCATTGTTATGCAAATGAGAGAGTTTTTTGTTTTTGTTTTATATTTTTAACACTCACATTCAGTGGCCTTTACATAAGAGAAAGAGAGCCAATGAGACAGTATTTTATTTGGAAGTTGCCACAAAAAAATAGACCATGTTGGTTTTTGTTGTTTATTCACTGGCCGCAATGCTCATTTTAATAACAAAAAACAAAAACGTAAAGAAATACTGTTTGTCACAAAAAAAAAACAACAACACAAATATTAAGTTCATGCAACACAATACAACACACAAAACAGTTGCCGACAGCTGGAACTTCAAGTAGTCGTTGTATCTCTACGTAACTGATGCACGTTGCCGATGAGGTAAATGCGATGGGATATTATCCGTTAAGATTTGCCAGTGCTCATTGCTAACAGGTCAAACATGCAATCATCGGCCACACAATCGCATCGTGTGCTAGCTTACAACAACCATGGTTTGACATCGAACGAACACAATATGTTTGAAAGTTGGTAGGTCAATTTCATAACAAACATTTGTTGTTGTGGATGGGTGGGTGTATGGTTGGACGGACGGGTGGGTGGCTTTTGTTTTTGTAGCTAAATTAAATGTCCGTACTCGTTGCCTTGGCCACGGACACGTTCACGCACGCACGCATACACACACACAAACCAACTTCGTGTCAAGAATTTTACGTTTCACGTAGTTAAGTCTCTCAAATTCCCCCAAAGACGTTTGGAAGGGCAAAACATTCCTTAAGACACACAACCACACACACACTCACGTTTTACTTTTGTACACGCAATTTTGTGTCGTTTAAAACTTTCATAGGACAGCTTCTGCGCACTAACGATGTTTATCAATAGACTGTCCAACCTGAACTGGTTGCATGGCCCCAGCCACTGCTTGATGGCCAACAATTCCCCAAAAAGATGACGTTTCGTGTACGTAACAAAAACAACAACCTAAACAAAAAGAAAATTGGCGCAACAACATCTTATAAAGCCACAATAAAGCTATCTCTTTTATTTTTCCAATCCAACCATGGAGGGGCAAATGAATTGGCATTATTGTTGAGATGAAATTCTTATAAGAATTCATTTCTGCTCTCTTTTGTCTACTAACGTAGCTCCTCCCCCCAGTGGAACAAATGAGAGTAAAATACTACTCGTTGCTTTCAAAAAATAACGAATTGCAGCTTATTGCTCTCGCATGTTCTCTTTGGCCATCATATTACACTCTCTCACTCTGTCTCATTTACACTTATTGTGTGGTATGATAGACTGTATATTTCCCCTCTCTTGAGGACTGGAATAACAAAGTTGTTTTTCTTTAGTTTTCTTGCTTGGGTTTGTTTTTTTTCATTTGTGGACTTGTTTTTGTTTGTCATATTTCTCAGCCAATGAGAATGGTTTATTTCACCGTTGCTATTTTGTTTTTTATTGTGTTGTTGTTTGGTTGGGTTGGGTAGTTCTGTGCTCGTCCACTATGAAAAAGACTGTATGAGAACTACATACAGGTGTTGTTTACTATTTTTGTTGCTACTTGCGAATGGTTTTGTTGTATATTGTTGTTGTTGGTATTCACCTTTTCCAGCAATGACGGCAACCATTAATTTTCTTTTGGGGGGTTTGTGTTTCTTTTTCTTATACGTGTGTATGCATGTGAGTTTTGGGAGGCCTTAACCACATTTAAAGAAGGGTTAATCATCGAGTGTGCCTATTTGTGGCTGTTTCTTTTTTTTAAACTTTATTGTTGTTTATTTAACTTTTCGTGGACACGCCTTCCATGACTGTTGGTTTTCTTTTTTGTGTGTGTTACCCCTATTTGAGCATTTTGAATGAAATTTTATTTTTCAGCTTTTTCATTCTCATTTTCAACGATCATAAAAGTTTTGTTTTATCAAAACGTTGGTTTAATTCATTTTGTAAAGTTTTTTTCCTATAGCCCTTTTTGCTGGTCATACTATGGGGGATTTGTTCATTTGTCTGGCTATTTTCCGCCTATGTATACCAGATGCATGACATCCCACTTTTTGTTGGCGGTTTTGTTAATTTATTTTGTGGTTATTTATTCTGTGCGTTTTTTTTTTTGCCAACTAATTTTCCCAATATGTATGTGAAAAAATTCAACAATTTCATATTCATTTAAAAACAAATGAATATATTTGTTTTGCAAATTTTCATTATTCGTTTGTTCGTTTTTTTTTTTTTTTTTTTGTGCGCTGTGTCCTCATTTTCCACACATGGCTGTTGGCCACCGTTGTAATGAGCAAATGATTAATTGATTGTGATGATGCACGAATCATTGTGGGTGTTTACTTTTTGTGTCAGCCAAATATAGGTAGGTAGGTGGGTATATGTGGCTTTTTTGTTTGTTTTGATGAATGTTTGTATAATGGAAATATTTTTTATTGTTAACAAACGACAACAACAAAAATTATCATAAAATAATTATTATTATATTAAATATAACAAGTATTTGATAGATATCATCTCATGTATGTATTTGGTTCAATTAAAGTTGTAATTTATCATTGAATGAAAGATTTAAGACACAAACTTGAGTATAGTATAGAAGTATATCAGTATAGAATCGAATAAAATATGAAATAAATCTGTAACAATTGAATTGTAAATTATGATAACAATTTTTGAATTTTCCTTTTTTTAGCAAAGACTAGTGTACAGTATATATAAGGTTGGGGTTAAAGAAATCCATTAGGCCGGTCGACGATATGGTGACTTAAACGTATGTGATTGGAGATGAGAAATGGAACATATACGATAACCCTGTGCATCAAAGAGCGGCGAAGCACCTAAAACGTTGGCCAAACCAGAACTAACGGCCAGGAAGGTTCTGCTATGCATTTGGTGGAACTGGAAGGGGATTATTTATTATGAGTTGCTTCCATATGGCCAAACGCTAAATTCTGATCTCTACAGTCGTAAAATCGTCCAGGAGCAAAAAATCGACCATCAAACTGTTTTAAGCCATTTACAGCTGACCAGAAACGGCCAGTTTTAATACATCCGCCATACAGTCCAGACTTGGCACCAAGCGATTATCATATTTTTTTGCATTGCAAAATCTCTTTAATGATAAAAAATTGGTATCTAAAGAGGATTGTGAACATCGACTATTAGAGTTTTTACTCTGTGGCAAATTTCATTTATTCAAAAAAAAAAATTAGCATTTTAGGGCCCGCGGTTGCATTTATGCAAAATTCATTATGAAATAAATACATGTAGTTATTTTTACCGATATAGTTAGTACGTTTTGGCTTCTACACCTATTTCAATTCTTTTATAAAATTTTTAAACGGATTTCATTACAAGAAGGCGTTTCTGGATTTTAATTTTGACTTACTGTCAAAAAAAATTATAAAACAAGGTGTATACACCTTGATATAAAAATGGCTAGAAAATAATTTATCACAGAACCCAGTAGTTCGAGTAACTGGTGATGAACTAGATATTTTACTAATTACCTGTAAGTACCATTGATTTCGGAAAAATCTATATACATATGTATATAAAATAGAAAAAAAATTGTTTGTTTGAACAGATGTTAATGATATTTACCCTGTATGTCATGACATGCCCTGAAAGTAACATAGGCTAGCTAAACTTCTAAAATTCCGCGTGGATGCGGAGTTATAGCATCAATAGTAAACATACCTCAAAATTTCTGAACATGTAATATGCGTATATCTTAAGAACGGTTACAGATACCGTCTTCAAAATTTGTGTGAATAACGTAGGTGTAAATACACACCATCCATACAAAAACGAGCTTGGTACGATCAATGGAAAATACAATTTCTGCTGCATTTTCAAAATCTGAATATTGAAAACAGAAAACATTTCGTTTGTAGACTCGAAAATCGCTGGACAGATTTTACTGAGACTTTCACAGAACGTCATGACATGTCCTGGTAATAACATAGGTTATATAAACCTCTAAGATTCGGCGTGTATGCGGAGTTATAGCATCGAACGTACTCATGCCTCAGAAATTATGAACATGTAATATGTGTATATCTTAAGAAAGGTTACATATACCGACTTCAAAATATGTCTGAGTAACGTGGGCGTAAGTACGCATAATCCATTTAACAGGATCGCGGGCTGCCAAGGGAAAATGCACTCCTCATTGCATTTCTATCTATACATATCGAAATCGAAAGCATATTGTTTGTGGACTTAAGAACCACTGCAATTGCGCATCATCCGAAGATTTTGGAAAGTTGAAGATCAGGGACGTACGCAAGGGGGCGGCCCGGATAGAGGAATATTAAGATGTGCAAAATAGTTATTTACCCTATTAAGTGTACTTATCTGTACTGACAATAACGACCAGTTCATTAATTATACTAACCCTCTTCTCTTCATTTTCATGCACATACATACATACTTATAACGAAATAAAATTTGTGTAAAATTTATAAAAGGTACCAATTTTGAATTTTTTTAGTATATGAAAAATATCTTTTTCTTAGTTTCAAAGGAAAC